TAATTCAACACATCCGAAATATTATTTTGACATGTAATTAATGTAAAAACATTACTGAGATATTTTACATTGTCTTTTCCTGCTGACTCTTTGAGATCTGGTGCCTCAATTCGGACCAGCTAGCGCCCCACGGTCCCACATGGCTAGTGGCCTCGCGCGGGAAGCGCAGGCAAGTGCAGGAGGAAAGGAGGGGCCAGAAAACTACAACTCCCGGCATGCTCCGAGCGCGCCCGCACGCCCCGATTGTGGGCATGACCCTGGATCCTCGCCCCGATCATTGCCCCAACCCTGGACCCTGCCCCATCCTCGACCCCACCCTGGACTCCTGCCCTGGCCCTGGATCTGACCCTAGACCCCCGCCTCTATCCCGGACCCCCGCCCCGACCCCAGATCCCCTCTTCTCTGGGGGTGGGGGCAGCACCTCCCATCCCTTTTCCCAACTATCTCCCTTCCCTACCCCAACACCTTCTAGATGCTCTTGCCCGAGCCGGCTGGCCGGTGGTTTATTAAGCACTTGCTGGGTGTCAGCCACCAGGCCCAGCGCTTTACAAGCCACCCTCTCCTTTAAATTACACAACCACCTGGGGAGGTAGGGACAGATCGGGAAACCGAGGCTGGGAGAGGCGAAGGCACCGAGGGAAGCAGAGCCTCATGGTATCCAGCATTTGAACGCAAATGCTGTTGGGGTGAGGCTTTCATTTTTCAGGAGCTCTCCCAAGAGTTGAGAATTGACGTAGGCCCTTCATGAGAGGTCCCTTCCCCGTCCCTGCAGAGCTGGCTGCTTGGAACTGTTTCCTGTTGGCTGGCTTGTGGGTGCGGGCTTGGCTATGGTCACTGTCTCTCTTAGCTAGAGTCACTTAAAATAGCACCCCTGCTTTTCTGCCGAGGTAAATTGGTTAAGTGGGAAGGTCCAGAAGGCTCTCTTCGCTGAGGGAGTCTCTTTTAAAGTTTATTCACATAGAATCCTCCCTGTGTAGTTGGTACCTTAGGTTGCTGATCTTTGGACCTAGTTCTTGAGGCCTTCATTGCTGTAAACTTCATTCAAGGTCAACTGAGATGTCTGTCTGTCAGGCCCTGGTGGCCTGAGGAAGCTCTGTGCTTGACGTGATGTGGTGTTTTCTTGTCAGAATTTGGATTGAAGGAGGCCGCACCGTTTTAGTGGGAACTGCGTACGAGAAGTTCCATATCTACATGTGTGACAGGTTGTTTGTGTTAAAACATAGCAAAGTGTCGTCTCCAAGGATAAATGTCCAGTTATTATTGTAGTAACTGCCCACGAAGAGCACTTTTAAGTCATGTTCCAGAGTTTGGTTCTGTGGAGTCGTTCTGCAATTGTCAGAGGCAGGCGTGGTGAGCCTTTGGTCTCAGGGGCGAGCCCCCTTCCTGAACACACTGGATGATCCCATCAAGGAGGAGGGGCTCCAGGCTCATATGTTCGAGGGCAGGTATGTTTTGGCTGCTTTTTTTGCTTTTTATCTGGCTCATCTGTGTGGTTTCACCGTCTAGAAAACCACCAGGACAACACCAGGCTAAAAGGCCAGGATTTCGTGGGCATCTGGACTGTTACAGCCAGGCATTGATGCTTGTCAAGTTCTGCATGCGTTTTTAAAAACCTCCCTGAGGTGCTGAGTCCTCCCCACCCAGACAGAAGCTCCTCAAGGGCTTGGTTTGTATCTGTAAGCCCAGGCAGGGCCAGGCTCAGAGCGGGCACCAGAACAGACATATGGGTTCATGGAATAGATAAAAATATATTGTCAGTCCAGAACTGCATCTCGGTGGGATGTTACCTTCGTTGGTCTGGCATTTAGTTTAACTCACCAATGGTATGGATTTACATAACCATCATAATATTGTTTTATGAAGGGGAATAGGAAATGAGAACTGTTTGATTGATCCACAGATGTTACTAATGAATTTCAGGAGCACTTGGGGTTAGTTACGCAGCTAGTTTTGATATGATGCTAATTATTATGTTCCTCATATTTATTATTCCAGCTGGCATTGAGATCATGGGATTTTTTTTGTTATTATCTTACTTTAAATTGAAATTTTATTCTGCTCTGTGGTTTCTTCAAGTGTGGAAGATCTGACCAGCAGGTCAGTTTCTCACTGTAAGAGCCCTCATGAATCACAGGATGCAGAGCTGAGCTATCAGAAAGTATTCCCACCTACATGCCCCATTCTGTTCTGCAGGCAGAGTCAGAATACATTAGTTAGAAAAGGGAATTTTCAAGTTGCGTGCTTGAATGTCACCCTGGAAACTGGTCCCCGAACGTTAGCTTGCTGTTGGCTGCAAGGCCCGGTGTGTGTCTCAGCTTGTGCTGCTCCGTCCCAGTCCCCTGTACATGTTTACACAGCATGGTTTTTCCTTCCTCTTTCCCCTCTACTCTGAGAGGGGACAACGTGAGCTTCCCCCAACAGTTCTCCTGAGCCTGTACTGCTCTGCTAAAGAGGGTGTTATTGTTATGACTCTTAAGGAAATGGATCACCTTTGTTGTTGTTCCTTATTTGTTTTATCCAAGTTGTGATCTCCATGGTGGTCTCTAGCTTCCATTGCCTGGGAGCAGAGAGAGGAGCAAAGTAAACCACTTTGTGTGATAGGCGGTTAACGATTTTAAGAAAATTACATCCGTGATGTAGCGGAGTTTTTTCTGCGCATGCTAAACTTTTATGAAATTGCCAGAATAAAGTACAATACTTGCTAGTATGGCTGTTAACATTTGCTAGATCACATGAAGATGTGTCTTCAAATGACAGATTACATCAGGTATGAGTGGAGACCAAGTCACTGCTCTTCTGGGGAGGTGTTAGACTATCGCCCTGCCCTGGCGGTGGCCTTTGGGGCTTTCTCACTGCTGCACCCAGCTTGTTCGAAATGCTGCTGCTGAGAACAAAGAAACAGAGTGAGACACTCGTGCACAGTGTGGGTGATCATGCCTGTGTTTTGTTCCTGACGTGCTGTGGCCACGCTGTGGAAAACAGTGTTTTTTGGAGCCAGTATGACGATTGTTTTGTAAAATTGTTTTGTAGACTGTATTCCAAACTTGACAGATAGCTAGCCTGCAAATTTCAGAATTATGAAGAAGCGTACCGAGTATTTCTGGGAGCAGAACTGTGGACTTGAAGGGAAGCTGGGGGTTCTCTGCTCTGTTGCAAATGGTGAGAGTGTAATTTGCTATCAGCTGCACCTACCTCATGCCCCCTTGGCCTTGCTGGTTTTGTGTGAACATCTGGTGGCCCCTGGAGTCTTCATGAGCCTTTTTTCAAAACTATTCTCAGTCTTGAGAGGAGCAGAAAATTCTGGATACTCTTAAAATGCCAGTGTTGAGAGGTGAAGTACTTGCTTAGAGTTTTTCCTCTTTTCTGTGTGTGCTGGGTATCTTTGAGCCTCGGTGGTAGCAGAGGGATGTGGTGAGCAAGCTTCCAGGTGGGTCTGTGCCCAGCCACCTGAGATGTCCAAGAAAGGCTGCTAGAACTTTAGTGTGCTGGGGGGCCTGGGGTGGGCACGTCCTGGAGTGGTGCTGCAGCCCCCTTCCAGGCCAGGCTATGCTCGCCACCCCCAGGCCGAGCCCACTACCAGTGTTTAGAAAGCACCAGTGAGGCTGTCTTCGTTTCCTGATCTCCAGGTAATTCTGCCATCTAACCTCAAGGAGTCGAAAGGAGCAAGAAAAAAGTTTCCCTCTCTTCTGAGTTTTGAAGAGTTTTCAGCCCAGGCCACTGAACATCTGTGTGTCTTTTCTGAAATATACAGTACAATCCCCACTCCCTCCTCCCCAAGATTCTGGCTCATGGGTAGAGGCCACAGCTGATTAGGTGGGCACTATTGTCTGGTGTGACGCATAGTGTGTGGGCCTTGTGGGGCTGCGAGGTGCTAAAGTGGACAGCACGTGATGTTGTGATGCTCTGGACAAACTCAGGTGCGTGTGCTCGGCGCACATCACCTCAGTCCTCATCGTGTGGTGCTGGCATCATTTGCTGGGTCTCCACAGGGTGATGAGTGTTCTTTATGATCAGATAGCTGTGTCCACAGCGGAGCAGGACTTCTGTATAGTCCAGCATACGTGCATATGAGTTTGGACAGCCGTGCATTGTTTTGCACAGAGGAGCCTGGGTGGAATGATGAGCCATGTCCAGCAGGCCACCTGCCAACACTTGGCTGTGAGATCTTTAAATTATAATTACAGGATTGGAAGGGATCTCATGGGCATCTCCTTGGGTTTCCTCCTAGAGCTGAAGTCAGTAGCTGTGGAAGTGGCTTCCCAGGTCATCTGCGTGCCCCTGGGGGTGGCTGTGTTGTGTGTGTGAGTGGATGCGCCCCCACTGCTGCCAGGGCTGCCTTCCCTGTGGGGGTGAGGACTTCCCTGCCTGGGTGTTACAGGGTAACTCAGACACAACTGTGTGCCCATCTGTCCCCTCTTGGCTGCCCCAGGAGGGTCCCCATGAGCTGTGGACATAGCGTGGGTGGTCACTTAGTGAGCCAGGGGCTAAGCCAAGGCTGGTCATGCTGACTGCTGTTCTCGGGACTTTGGGGCACTCAGTGGCCGGGTCCTGATTTCTTGCTCTCTGTGAACCAGTCTTTCTTTGCTGTGTCTCCAGCTCCCTTTCATGTGTTTGTGAAAGAAAGAAACACAAGTGTACAAAGCATACTTAGATCTTTAGGTTATCAGGAAATGAAGGACCTGTTATTTTCATTTAAAAATTACTTTCCAGATCTTTCCAGACTAAAGAAGCACTTCAGGTTGCCACTAATTATCAGCAGGAGATTTTATATCAAAACTGTGAGCCTGTTTCAGGAGTGTTTAGTAGGTAGGGATCAAGTGTTAGGGCTTTTCACTCGGTTTTCACAACTAATGGGAATTCTTTGATTTCATCAATGCTTTACTTCTTAGCAAATAAGAAAAAACAGTAAATTCCTGGTGTGGTTTGGGATGTCAGGTCTTATATTATTAGTATTAAGATTTATTTAATTTCTATCCTATGATTTTTTTTTTCCCCAGTGTGCTCATGGGAGCTTAGAAGACCCCAAAAGTGTGACTCATCACAAATTAATACATGCTGCTTCGGAGAGGGTGCTGAGTGATGCCAAAATGGTCTCAGAGGAGAACATCCAGGACAAAGGTGGGTCGCCCCACCTGGCAGCATGGGGCATGGCGCCACCAGGGGGCCAGTGTTCTGAGCTGGAAATGAGCAGAAGCCTGGATCGACTAAAAGGGTTTTATTTTTCCTTTGTTAAAAAAAGTGTGTGTGATGGAAACCACAGAGACTGAAACTGAGTGAGCAGCGGACATCTGAGAAGCCAAGTGTGAGCTTCATGTTTAATTGTTTCAGAGCAGAACCAGAAGCTCCAGGGCTTCTGCAGGTTTTATTTTGGGGTTGGATATGATCGTTGTGGTGGTGGTTTTTGACATCCTGGTGAGATGTTCTTATTATACATGCATCTGTTTAATCATTTGTAGTCTTGTGTTGGGAGGCACTTTGGGGAGAAAACCTCAGTTTTCTGTATGTCATTCAAATAATGACTTTAATCCTAGAATTCCTTGACGTAATCTGTTTTGAAAATACTAGATGTATTGAGTGTGATCATCAAACTCAAAACTAGATGGGAGATGACCTGCCACTGTGGACTGTGGACTAACCACAGCTCAGGTTTTTAGCTCCAAGAGTTAAGAACAAACTTTCCAAGCTCGTACGTTTTCAAAACTGAGCCCATTAAAATGAGAACATTTGCAAGATTCACACCAATTCTTTGTGTGGCCATCAGAGCCGTGCTGTGTGTGCCTCCTGGGCCACTGGCCACCTGTGGTGACCATAGCTGGGTTCTTGCCAGGCCCAGGAGCTGGTACCTCAGCCAGGGCTGTGCACACGTCATGAAAACTGAGGGAGTATGAGCCAGTGGAGACGTTCAGGTTAGGAGGGACCCAGAGGGAACCCTGCTTTTCTGTCCTCAGCTCCTCTGGCATCCTTTGTGCAATTTTATGGATGTGAAATAATAAGCAGCTTGGTGGACATAAATGTTTTTTTCTAGATGTCCTGTTATTGATAAAAAAGCGTGCTCCATCTCCGCTCCCTAAGATGACTGATGTCTCAGCAGAAGAAAAGGTAAGTTTCAAAGTTTGCAACTGGAGATCTTTATTGGTAGTGTCTCCTACATTTAAAACTGATAAAAAGAAGTGTTCTGTGTACGAGTCATTCACCAACCCGGCGTGTTCTCCTTCGTTACGGTAGATGCGGTGGGAAGGGATTCTCTGTTACGGCTGAGCCTGTTTAGCCCGTGTTGGTCCTGGTCCCTGGTCATGTGACCAGCACACAGAAAACCTGGCTGTGTGTCTTTTGAGATGCAGAGAGAACGACGGCACATTCTTGAGTCTTGACTTCATTTTTGCGCTGCCACAACCCAACCTGCATGTCCTTCTGTCCCTCTTCCTCGAACAGCCAGATCAGCCCTGCCAGCAGAGTGGAGGACAGCTGCTCACAGACCGCCATGCAGAATATGGAATGTGAGCGCAGACAGCGGCGGGCGAAGGCGTGCGGGGCGACATGCATGGCTCTGTGCTCTTCATTCTTAGCAAGGCTGGGTTTTACCTGTTTGTCTTGTCTGTTTCTTGCAAGACAGAATTGGATGTCGTCGGAGTGTGTGTTGATGGGATCGTTTATGATCCGCATCTTCCCTTAACTTGGGTGCCTTAGGAAGACTGCAGTTTATTATTTAGAGGCTGTCCCAAAAGCTCATTCTTTAGAGGCTCATCTTGCGCAGTATAAGACATCCTCTGTAAATAGGTCCTTTTCCTCCTCTTACATCAGACTTCATGCCTGTGCCCAAGTGCTATTTTACAGGCAAGCTACCTTCATTCAACAGTTTTTTCTTTACTTATCCCAAGGGATAGCATTTCTTACTCATTCTTTGAAATGCTGGGGAGAGTGTTCGCCCCAGAGAAAGAGCCAGGCTGTAGTCCTTTAGGGCTGGGCCCATGGCCTGATAGCAGATGAGCTATTTTAGGGTCTCATCTGGGACCACGGGGGTGGGAGGAGTGCCCTGGGCTTTGGCCCCTTCCTTATCTTCAGCCACACCTGGTCAAGGCGCAGGCGGCACACGGGCAAGCTGCCCCACCCCATCTCCAGCGGACAGAGCTGGGCCTGCCCCCGCCTGTCTCAAGGCTTGCTCTGAAAACTGGCGGGCAGGATCGGCTGTTCTCAAATTACGGTTTTGACAGTTGGCATTCAGACTTAGAGGCCCTGTATCTAATATAAACAGCAGGATTCTGATTACAGCCGCCATAGCCTCTTGGACGGTGGTTACAGGATGCAGTAGAGCTCACTTGAGGAGCTCACCTTTTCCCTTCACATACATGTAAAACGAAACATTGTAAGACGTCAATTCATATTTAAGTCAAAATAACACATGAATTAAAAAATTCAAATAATACTGCAAATCTTGTAATAAAAATCACCAGCCTCCTATCACAGCTGAGTCATACTCTGAAGATGACCACTCATAACCGTTACCTTAGCAGTTCTCTTCCTGATTTTTAAGTAATACGTGTGTGTTACTGTATTAGTCCATTTTTGTTGCTTATAACAAAATGCACAGAACTAGGTGATTTATAAGAAAACAATTTATTACTTAACAGTTTCAGAGTCTGGGAAGTTCAAAGTCCAGGGAACATATCTGGTGAGGGTCTTGGTCATGGTGACAGTGACCCAGGGGTCTCACATGGCAGAAAAATGGCAGAGCAGAGAGAGAGAAACCCTTTGTGTGCTCTCCTTTTAAAGCCCTCAGAACCACGTCCCTGACCACCATTATTAATCCATTCTCTAAGCACGGTCCTGTGATCCAATCACCCCTTTAGGGTCCCACCTTTCAATTACCATAATAGGATTTCCCACCCTCAGCAGTTACAGTGGGGATTAAGCTTCAATGAGGTTGGGGGACATCCAACCTACAGCAATTACTATTTGTTAAATGATCAATTTAATTTTTTTATTATTATTGTTTTTAAAATTTTTATTGAATCATAATTGATTATACATATTTTGGGGGTTCAACGTTGAGATATGTTGATCAAATCAGTATTACTAATATATATATTGTTACAAATCATATTCATTCTTTATGCCCCTTGTCCAAGCTCTCCCCCTCCCGCCTCTGATAACCCTAGATTTCTTCTCTTCTTCTGAAAGAATAATGGTTACTTCGTTGATTTGTTGCCTATATGATCTGTCCAATGCTGAGAGGTGTGTCCAGGTCCCCCAATATTATTGTAGAGCAAATGCTTCTTCTGTCACTCTGGAATGGGCTTTGTGGAGAGAGACATCCTCTTCTTTTCTTTGGTCTCTGCTGGTGGCTCTCCTTGTGTCAATGCACTCCAGTGGCTGGTGGACCATCTGCATGGTGGCTGTGATATCTAGCCACTTTCATTGCAGCCATGGTTATTGTGGTGGCTGTGGTGGGCCACCCACATTGAGATGATGTTTTTGGCATGCTCCTTGGCTCTGGTGGTATGCCTGGTTGTGGGAGGGAGTTCCAGTCCCTGGCCCCATGCCTTGGGTCTCCGGATGGGCACCGAGGTGCTGGTGGTGTGCCTGGTTGTGTGGGGGCGGGTTCGGTCCTTGGCTCCATACCTCAAGACCCTGGGTGGGCCTTGAGGCACTGGTGGTGTGCCTGGTTGTGGGAGAGGAGCCTGTCTGGTCCCGGGCTCCATGCCTGGGGTCCCTGGGTGGGCCCCAAGGTGCTGGAGGTGTGCCTGGGCAGGAACTAATTTGTTGTCCTTTGCTTACTTCTAAAGTGGGGGAACTTCTTGTTGGGACCAGTACTTGAGCTGTATGATTGAGCTAAATTGCTGCTTTGCTGCTGATTCCCTAGGGAAGGCTTTTTGTGCAGCTCAGGTTTTAATGGTTGACCTTATAGGTACTTTTGGCTCTCCAGAGACCCAGTGCACCTGGGTTGTGTAGAAACTCTGATCTGGGACTGAGTCTTTTCATCATACTGCACCCCATGCAATTCTATATCCCTGACGGGTCTCCTCTGAGTGGTCCTGTGCTGATTGGGGCGCATATCAGCTATCCTTGCTGTGTCCCAGTGTTCTCCCAGTGGGCCCGTTTCCCCCACTGCCCATGCTGCAAACATTTCCCATTGGACGGGCTGTGCGCTGATCACTTGTGATGACTCACCAGCCTCCAAATGGCTCTTTTTTTTCAGTTGTCTGTGGCTCCTTGCTCCTGTGTGGGTTCATGGGAACCCTATTAGTGGTCCTGCTGGCCTGGGGACCACCAAGGCCCTCTTCTCCCCTGCTGCCTCCCAGCAACCCCATCTGAAGGGCACAGCTGCAGCTTTTTTTTTTTTGTCTTTTTTCGTGTCCGGCAATGGATCGCAACCCTCAGTGTCGCGCCTGTACCGGACCGGGACCAGCAACGGGATCGCAACCCTCCGTGTTGCGCCCGCACCTCACTCAGCCAGTGAGCGGGAACCGGTCTGTATGTGGGATCCGAACCCTTGGCGGGAGCGCCGCCGCGCTCTCAAGCAGCACACTGTAGCAGTGCGCCACCGGGCCGGCCCACAGCTGCGGCTTTTGCCGGCTCCTTCTCAATGCACTCAGCAGCTCCAGGCTTAAAGCGGCAGCGGCATGAAATGGTCGGAGTGGTTCTTTCTTTCTCTTGTCATGGCTTCTCCTGCCTTCATGCAGTCCATAGGTCTCTCCTCCTCTTCCCCTGAGCTCTAGCGGCCCCAGCTTGGCTGTTGTTGCTTTTTTATAGTTGTTAATTGGTTGATTTGTGGGAGAGAGTGATGCTGGGGACTGTCTATTCCGCCATCTTGACCGGAAACTCCCAAATGATCAATTTGAGACTTGATTGGCTTTTTAACAATAAGGATGTGTCTCCTCCCCTGCCTTCCCTCCCTCCCTCCTGTTGGGTCATCATGCTGGCTGAAGATACTATTATTATTTAAGTGTTGTTTTCTGCCCTGAGCAAAGTGTGTTAAGATTATCTCTCCTAGGGCCGGCCCGGTGGCGCACTGGATAGTGCGCNCTCAATGCACTCAGCAGCTCCAGGCTTAAAGCGGCAGCGGCATGAAATGGTCGGAGTGGTTCTTTCTTTCTCTTGTCATGGCTTCTCCTGCCTTCATGCAGTCCATAGGTCTCTCCTCCTCTTCCCCTGAGCTCTAGCGGCCCCAGCTTGGCTGTTGTTGCTTTTTTATAGTTGTTAATTGGTTGATTTGTGGGAGAGAGTGATGCTGGGGACTGTCTATTCCGCCATCTTGACCGGAAACTCCCAAATGATCAATTTGAGACTTGATTGGCTTTTTAACAATAAGGATGTGTCTCCTCCCCTGCCTTCCCTCCCTCCCTCCTGTTGGGTCATCATGCTGGCTGAAGATACTATTATTATTTAAGTGTTGTTTTCTGCCCTGAGCAAAGTGTGTTAAGATTATCTCTCCTAGGGCCGGCCCGGTGGCGCACTGGATAGTGCGCCGCTTGGGAAGCGCGGCAGCGCTCCCGCCCGAGGGTTCGGATCCCACATACAGACCGGTTCCCGCTCACTGGCTGAGCGAGGCGCGGGGGCAGTGCCGAGGGTTGTGATCCCGTTGCCGGTCCCCGGTCCGGTACGGGGGCAACACTGAGGGTTGCGATCCGTTGCTGGACACGACAAAAGACAAAAAGGAAAAAAAAAAAAAAAAGATTATCTCTCCTAGTTGGCTGGTTAGCTCAGCTGGTTGGAACGTGGTGCTGATAACACCAAAGTCCGGGGCTTGATCCCTATAGTGGCCAGCAAGAAAAAAAAAAAAAGAATTATCTTTTTTATACAACTTGAAGTCAGGTAGTGTAATGCCTCCAGCTTTATTTTCACACAGCTTTGTTTTTCCTGGAGTTACTAACTGCCTTATCGTTTTATTTGTTTGCTTGCTTAGTTTATTGTAGGCTTATCACTTATTTTTTCATATTCTTCAACAGAATTGACAAACATTCTGAAAATGTGGTCACATGTATTAGGTATCTGCCTGTTCCCTTTTTTCCTGGAGATACTCCTCCAGGCCCCTCTGGCCTCTGCATCTCTCCCAATCCAGCCTTCCAGGCCTACTGCACAGCCTGAATTTTCCTGCCTCTATTCTCTTAGAACCTCCTGATTTTATATGTTTCCTGCTGCCATCTCACAAATTGCCACAGACTTACCCACCTAAAACAACACTCATCTCTCAGCTCACCATTTTGTGGGTCAGAAGGCAGCTGGCACAGATGGTTTCTTTGCTCAAGGTCTCAAGTTGAAGTCAAGTTTGAAGGGCTGCCTTCCTTCTGGGGGGCTCTGCTCCTGCAGTTGTAGGGCTGACCTCCTGTTTCTTGCTGGCTGTCAGGTCCACTCTCAGCTCCTGGTGGCAGCCCGTGTTCTCCATCTGCACAGCCAGCAACAGAACTTCTTGTGTGTTGAATCTCTCTTGCCAGAAAGGGCCCTATCCTTTTTGATGGCTCTCCTGATTAGGTCAGGCTCACCCAAGGTTATGTCCTTTTCCTAAAGTTGGCTGTGCCATATGATGTAACCTAACCCCAGAGTGGAATCCATGCTGCTCATGCCCTGCAGTCATGCAAGGGTGACTGCTGGATGCAGGGAGTGTGGGCCATCTTCCAGTCCTGCCGACTGCTGGATTGAGTGTCCTGTTCTGGCTCATTTGCACCCTGGTGTGGTGGAGCCTGACTTCCTCTGGCATCTAGGAAGGGAAGTCAGTCTTGAGGCCTTGTGTTCCAGTGTTGGGGAGCTGTGGAGTTAGCATCAGCCATGTGCCATGCACAGGGTCAGCTCTGATCTCCATATGTGGTCGTGTCCCCTATCCCCACTCCAGCTGGAACGGCGGGATCTCCTGATGCTCTGGAATCTCATCATGTGCTCTGATGTGGGTCTTTTCCCTTTACTGTACCTGGCACATGGTTCTGCAGAGTCAAGTATTTGAGTTCTGGGAAATTTAGTTCTGGAAATTGTTCTGGATTATTTTTTGATAATTTCCTCCTTGTTTTCTCATTCTGCAAGTCTTATTAGTTGGCTGGTAGGTCTGCTTTTTAAGAGATTTTCTGTTGTCTTCTAAGCATTCTGTAGCTTTTTAAAAATCTGACTGTGGGGCCAAGCCCGTGGCGCACTCGGGAGAGTGTGGCGTTGGGAGCGCAGCAGCGCTCCCGCCGCGGGTTCGGATCCTATATAGGGATGACCGGTGCGCTCACAGCGCTCACTGGCTAAGCGCGGTGCGGCCAGTCTCAAAAAGGACAAAAAAATAAAAATAAAAAATAAATAAATAAATAAATAAGATAAAATCTGACTGTGATTTTTCTTTTTTCTTTTGTCAGTGGCTGGTAGGGGGATCTGAACCTTGACCTTGATGTTACCAGCACCACACTGTAATCAGCGGACCTAACCAGCCAGCCCTTGGCTGTAACATTTTAGAATTTCCCAAGCAGATTCCTCTTCTCAGATTGTTTGTTATAGCGTCTTGGTGTGCTCCTTGTCCTAGTGTGCTGTCATGTTTTCTGGTTTTCATGCTCTCTTCTTCCCTTCATGCTTCTTTTTATTTTTCCTGTTCTTATTTTGGTCTTTGTCTTTCATGTTGGAAGCATTCCTTAAATATCTGGCCAGCTGTCGTTGGCTGTCTGTCACCTTTAAGAGGACCTGGAAGCTCATGGGCAGCTCTCTGTGCCTGGTTGGGCTGTGCTAGCTGGTGGGCTTCCCTGTGGCGTGGAGACAGCGTCCCTGATGCTCGGGGTGCAGGAGAGGGCCATTCTTCCCTCTGTGGAGCCTGCAGATCCTGGCCAGGGCTTCTCAGGCTCAGCTTCTCCAGGAGTTGGCCGGCTGAGCAGGGTGGTGGAGGAAGGCTACTCCTGCTCCTAGAGCTCGTGCTCCACCTGCTGTGACAGCTGGTGCCTCTGACCCCCTGGGCTCTGGGATGGTGGCAATGGCCTTGCTTCATCCAGGTCTCTGCTCTGCAGGCCCTTGGTATCAGCCTTTGGAGCTCTACCCACTCCTGTCTGCTTTTTGTCTCCTGATTTTGTTTCCTCTCCATTTCTGCCATCTTTGTTCCTTTACTGCTGCGTCAGGGCTTCTGGGAGGCGCAGACAGGTGCTATTCTTGGCCTCCAGGCCTGACTGCAGGTCTGTGTGGTTCCACTGAGGTCGCCTCCCATCCCAGCACCAGCCCCAGCCCCGCCACTGCCCCTGTGGGATTGTTGCCCTGTGGCCACCTTCTCCTCCTCTTTCCTTCACTGCCACGCTCTGGTTCACAGCAGGCAGGCATTGTGTCCTAAGTGTCACATCCAGTCTTCCGTCCCTGAGACTGTGCACAGAACTCTTTGCAATCTCCCGACTCATTGAGGAGTCTATAGTCCTAGCTTCCCAAGGAAATGGATTCTTTGCCTAATTACAGTTCTGTCTGTTTCATTTGCATAATCTTGCCTTTTATTGCTCTTAGTTCTTTCTCACTTTCTGATTACTTTTCTGTGTAGAAAAAACAAGAGCAGAAAGCTCCAGACAGAGATGCTATATTCCGAGCAACAGCGAATCTGCCGTCCTACAACATGGACCGGGCTGTGGTCCAGACCAACCTGAGAGACGTGAGTGTCGGCCCAGCGTGGTGGACCCCAGTGGGGTGGACCCCAGCAGGGCAGGGGTTACCAGAAGAGATTCCTAAAGAGTATTTGGGGAAGCTGGGGAAGGATGTACAGGAGCCCTTTACTATTTTTACAACTTTTCTGTAAATCTGAAATTATTTCAGACTAAGAAGTTTAAAAGACATTTGAAGGCAGGACTAAAAGAATAAATACTCATAGAAAATGTAAGCGTTTTGGGGCCGGCCCGGTGGCGCACTGCGATAGTGCGCCGCTTGGGAAGTGCAGTGGCGCTCCCGCTGAGGGTTCAGATCCCACATACAGACCGGCCGCTCACTGGCTGAGCGAGGTGCGGGGGCAACGCCGAGGGTTGCGATCCCGTTGCCGGTCCCGGTCCGGTCCGGGCGCGACACTGAGGGTTGCGATCCATTGCTGGCCACGAAAAAAGACAAAAAGGAAAAAAAAAAAGAAAAAAAAGAAAATGTAAGCGTTTTGCCCTGAGTTTGGCAAAAGCTTTTAGATAGAAATCTGAACTCTTAAGTTATTGGAAATTAATTAAGAAGTTGGAAATTTCTAAGTTGAAAGAGAGCAGCATTTGCAGATCTCATGTGGGCTTGCCCCAGGGCACGGGGCATGCACGGGCTGTGCAGGAATGGGGAGAGGGGCTGGCTTTCCACTGTTTCTGGTGCCGGTCTAGTCTCGGAGCACTGCCGTGAGCCCTGGTTCATTTTAGGAACAGGCCTCTCTTGGGGTCTTTTCCAGAGAGCTCCACACTGACCAGGGCATTGTAAGTCTTCTGCAGCGGCTGGTGTGTGTGTCTCCCAGGCCTGCAAGTGTGTTCAGCTCAGGTGTGTTTGTCCCAGTGTGGTATCTCACATGAAGACTGAGGCTTGTTGTGGGAGAGAGGGGACAGCTGATTCCCTGATCTCCAGGCCCTGTAACTGGGTGCTGGTCTAGAGGGGGCCTCTGATGGCATTGCACAGCCCTTCTTGTCTAGAAGATGCAGTGGTGCCGTCATGTTTCAGCCTAGTGACAATTAGAGACCCGCAGCTGCAGAGCCCACCCGTGGAGGGTCTTCAGCCAGCTTAGCACCACATGGCCAGATGCTGTCCTCATTGGGACTGGGATGAGCGTCAAACTTGGCCCTCAGTGACTGTCACTGGACCTTTTCCTGTGTGTTGCCAGCCCGTCTGTGCAGACAGAAGGCCCTCCTGAGGAGAGGCGGGGCTCTGCTGGTCCCACTCCTCCTCCTTGGCTGATCTTGACCCTCCCTCCAGAAGGAAAGCAGCATAATTTTGACTCTCTCAGATGTAAGGTTCTAGGACAAGGCAGTGAGGTAGTAGATTCAGGTAGGTTTGTTGGACATTTAGAAAAGTGACCTGTTTTTGTTTGTTTCTGATTGCAGTTCCAGACAGAACTCCGGAAGATCTTAGTCTCTCTCATCGAGGTGGCACAGAAGTTGTTAGCGCTGAACCCCGATGCGGTTGAACTGTTCAAGAAGGCAAATGGTACGAACACCCCCAGCCACATTGCACAACCTGCACTCACCCGGCCTCTGCTCCCAGCGTCCGCAGCCACACCCCCGGGAAAGTCGCGCGCTGTGGTTTCTCCTGCAGTCGAGGGGCTGCTGGCCTGCTCATCGCACTGTCCCCTGCGTGCGCACTTGAGAGCTGATGGCTAGACCTCAGCCTTTCTGAGGTTTCAGATCATTGCTGGAACACTGGGTGCTGAGATGAGGTGGGTGAACTCTGAGGGGCTCGGGGAGGCCCCTCACGAGGCCGTCTCCTCTCTCGCCTGCAGCTATGTTGGATGAGGATGAGGATGAGCGTGTGGACGAAGCGGCTCTACGGCAGCTCACGGAGATGGGCTTTCCTGAGACCAGAGCCACCAAGGCCCTTCGGCTGAACCAGTATGTCATCGGGGCGCCTCCTTCCCTTGCTGGAGATGCTGGGGGCTTGGTCCTGTGGCTTCCCCGTGGGTGGCATCCTTCCTCCCAAACTCTGATTGAATCGTTTCTAATATGTGTGAGTTTTTAAAGAGGAACCTTAAATGTTTGCTCCAGAAGTATCTTAATTTATCATCTCAAAGAGTTTTAAGAGAGTTTTAAATCATCTCGTTCTTTTAGGGAAGGTGATATGTAGGGGTCATTCTGTAAATTCTCACTGGGCTGTCGTTTATGAGAACAAATTCAAGCCTGTTCTCAGCAGGGACATCGACTCTCTAATAGTCTCTTGAGATTCACATCTTTAGTTATTGCCTCTACTTCTGTGTTCAGATCCAAAAGGATTGATCCATAAACCAAAGCATGGCCCCTGGCGGTGGTTTGTTCCTCTGTGCCTTGGACCTGAACTCTCACCCTGCACCACACATGTGGTCCCTTTGCTTGTGAGTGGGCTCCGTGTCCTGCTGGGCTTCAGGGAGTTCCACTGAAGAGTCTTGTTACCAGGGATCATCAGCTATGGCTAGAGAAGCCGTTAAATAGAGCCTTTTCTTGGCAACATGCAGGAGGTAGAGGGCCCTCGTGACTTAGCCCGGGCACGTTGGACACAGTCTCTGGTTCCCTTGCAGCATGTCAGTACCTCAGGCCATGGAGTGGCTAATCGAGCACGCGGAAGACCCAGCCATAGACACTCCTCTGCCGGGCCAATCCCCGCCAGGAGCGGTGGGGGCCGAGGCGGCTGCCCCCGAGGCTGCTGCTGGAACTAGCACAGAGGATGAGGAGGCCAGAGATGAGCTCACGGAAATCTTCAAGAGGATTCGGAGGAAAAGGGAATTTCGGGCTGATGCTCGGGTATGTGTTACTGGACCTGTCGCCAGGTAGAGTTGCTGTTTCTTCACTTGAGGCCACGTTATGTAAGGGAGCTAGGGCCTGTCGCTGTGAGCTGGGGCAGCTTGCATCCCTGGAGAAAGTGGGGCTGGGGAAGGAGTTTGCAGACAGGCCAGGAGGGTGGACTCGAGTTCCCAAGTTCACGTCTCAGTTATCCTCACTTGAATCCAGGTGGCTGTATTTCCCTGGTAATTGGTTGACATATCTGTCATTCCTGAAAAACTCAAAATTTTAAGTTCTGTCCGTACTACACATGACTGTGAGCTGCACCTGTTGCTGTGGCCCCTCCATGGGGTTGGGTGGGGGCCTGGCCTGGAGGCCTGGATGGTCACTTGCCCGGGGGACTGCCTTGTGGGCAGGGCTGGCTGGCCATCTCTCACTGCCATCTGCAGGTCAAGGGCCTGTGGTCTGGGCTGTCTCCGGCTATGCGTGGCCAGCTGACGTCAGCAGGTTTCCATGGCCCCGCCTCACCACCGCCTTCACTGTCCTGTTCCTTGATGAGGATTTTAATTCTCTGATGTTTCACACTGTTTTAAACATACTCATATTTTTTTCCAAATCCTAGAGCTACTCGCTCAGAGCTCCGCTGTCCTGATCCCCGCGAGCAGGCGGTGTAAAGTATTTTCTCAGGGTGGATGGGTTTTCATCATGGACCCCTATGGGGCTTGTTGTTTCCCGTGGGAATCCCATATGGCTGGGTCACAGGAGAGGGGGACCCCAGTTTTTATGTCAGTTGTCCCCGCGGGTCCCCAGACCTGCAGCGCCTGCAGTATGACCTGTGGCTCCGCGGCTGATTCCTTCCTGCCTGGGGCTCTGCAGAGACACACGCTTCCTAGTGCGGCTGCTCACCCCCCAGGGCCCCACCTTCTGTCCCCAGACCTGCAGCGCCTGCAGTATGACCTGTGGCTCCGCGGCTGATTCCTTCCTGCCTAGGGCTCTGCAGAGACACATGCTTCCTAGTGCGGCTGCTCACCCCCCAGGGCCCCACCTTCTGTCTATGTGGGGACTCAGACCCTGACCCTCAGGCCCTGCTACTGCCCCCCACCTTGGGCGGCCCCACCTGACCTGTCACCAGGCTGGATTTCTCATTGTCTTTGCTTCTGTCACTTGGGGTTCCCCTCTCTCGTGCATTTAGCTGTGCATTTAAAAGTCTTTCTGTTACTTTGCTTGTGTTGCTAGGCTTGGTGGGAGGTTGGTCTCGTTATCACAGCTCCCCGGGAGGGAGCTGAGGGCACATCTGGTGTGGACCCTGTTGGGGATGCGGCACTGGCTCCTGGGGGCAGTCCTTTGTGCTTCGCGGTCGGCTCGTGCTTTCCTGTGTCTCAGTCTGTGTGGTGCTCATGAGGATCACTGCTGGTTACTTCATATTGTTTCTTGCTATCTTCACCCATTTTCCTCGGGTGCTTTTCTGCTGACGCTCCTTCCTATCACTGTGTGTTAGAACGTCCTGTAGGACGTCAGTTGTCGTAAGAGGCTGTCAGGGCTCAGGGCACCAGCCTCTCGGCTTCTCTGCCCTTTGGTTTCTGTACCAGCTGTGAGATGAGGCAGGACTCCGTCAGGATGCGACGTTAGCTTGCTTCCTGGGGAAGGACTGCAGAGGGAGGCTTTGGCTTGATGCCACCATGCTCTTTCTGCTGCCCCCACCGGGGAGGGGACAACTGCTGCGCAGGGGGCAGAGCAGGCAGAGCCCGAGCTCTTGTGCCTGCAAGTGCAGGACCTCCCCACTGCTGCCCATGGGAAGGCTTTCCTGTCACGGCTGGGAAGGAGGGCCAGGGGCCAGGGTGTCACCCCAGAAGTATTGGGGCTGTGATAGAAATGAGGAGAGAGAAAGGTTTTTATTGAAGCTGACAGAAAGGCCACTTACCCTTGAGTTGAGCAATAGATTCCAGGCAGTTCTATGTGCCATTGTTGTGGAAGTCCCTGTGGTTAGGGAGCGGTCAGGCAAGCAGGCAAGGTCGCCTGTGAGAGGAGGCCTGGGCTCAGCTTGGGAACTAACCATGCATGGTTTGGCTCCAGCCAGTGTCCTTCCTGATGCCCACCCCCAGCTGGTGTCTTCTGTTGGGTTCTCTCCGAGCCATCTGACAGTCGGGTCCAGACTGGCGCAACGTTTCAGGAAGTCAGGGAGAGGGCGCTGGAAAGCCACTTGGGGCAGCGACACTGGGGACCCTTGCCTGGCCGGGAGCGGCTGCAGGGGCAGGGTTTGACTGCAGCAGATGGACGGGGATTGATGGGACTCTTAACTTTATTTTGCAAAATCGACCCTTTTAAGTGTGGTGTTATGAAAGTCCAGTATAAAGTACAGGATGTGTTATCTTGTTACATGACTTTTGTCCTGAGAATGTACATCCCTCCCCCAAAACATTGTTGATTGGGTCATTGTTTGCTCTAAGAATTAGCATATGTTCACACAGCTTCAGTTTTGTTCAATTTTGGATGTTTAAAATTAATTTTAATTTTTTTTCCTAAGATAAAATTTGAATATAACCCCCCTTTTCACAAGTTACTATGACACTTTACTCTCCATTTAAATTGGATTTTCTTACATGACCTTCCTCTAATGCCACTTATTCCTGGATAGCAAGGCCCTCTGGGATAAGCTGGCATGTGGTTGCTGAGGACAGTGTCACCTGCACAGTCACTCGACAAGCCCAAAGCATTTGCAGTGGGCCTGGCCCACCCTCCGTCTGCCCGCGTGCAGCTGCCGCCCGCCCATGCCAACTCTCCGGGTCTCTGCTGGCTGCAGCCTCGGCCGTGCCTCCTGGGCTTTAGGACGTTGACAACCAGGAAACACCGAGCCAGGCCCCAGGGAGAGGGCGCTGCTGTGGGACTTGCGAGTGTGGCGCTAACGGACTGTGTCCTCGTGCAGGCCGTCGTTTCCCTGATGGAGATGGGCTTCGACGAGAAGGAGGTGGTGGACGCCCTCCGGGTGAACAACAACCAGCAGAGCGCTGCCGTGAGTAGCATCCTGTCCCCTCCGCCACTGGTTACTCCCACACGCGCTGTTGCTTCTGGGACTTCCAAGTGACACGACGGGTAGATGGTTCAAATAGTCTACAGTTTTATTTATTTATTTTTTCCCTTTTGTCTTTTCTCGTGTCCGGCAACGGATCGCAACCCTCAGTGTCGCGCCCGTACCGGACCAGGACCGGCCACGGGATCGCAACCCTCGGTGTTGCTCCCGCCCCTCGCTCAGCCGGTGAGCAGGAACCGGTCTGTATGTGGGATCCGAACCCTCGGCAGGAGCGCCGCCGCGCTTCCCAAGCGGCGCACTGTAGCAGTGCACCACCGGGCCGGCCCAAGTCTACAGTTTTAAATATACTGAGAAGGTTCTGTACGTCCAGACGTTTCCAGACTCAGGACCAGCCAACAGGCGTTCGGTCCTGCCAGGGTTCCTGCCCCCGCACAGATTGGGCGTCTGGTGCGTTTGGTAATTACCCTTCCAGCGCCTTGGGGGCTGTGCTGCCTCCCCCGTTCTGTGACAGGAAGCAGCACGGTCACTTGAACTGCAGCGCCGAGGTCCACTGAGAAGCCTCCCAGCGCGGCCCCTCCCTCCACCCCACCTAACCCGTGGAGCTCTGAATCTGGGCAGGTCTTATCAAGGTCCCGTCCAGGGAGCACAGCCCTGGGGACCTGCAGGATCGTCGGGAAGGCCCGCCCTGATGCGCCCTCTTGGGTTTGCAGTGCGAGTGGTTGCTGGGAGACCGGAGGCCCTCCCCCGAGGAGCTGGACCAGGGCATCGACCCCGACAGCCCTCTCTTTCAGGCCATCCTGGATAACCCGGTGGTGCAGCTGGGCCTGACCAACCCGAAAACGTTGCTAGGTACGTGCACCTGCTTCATGCCAGCTGCCAACCTGATGGGGCGCCCTCCTGCAGCACACTGATGCTACCAGCATGACATGGTGTCGAGAGGCGCCATGCCTCGGTGGCTCAGCACGCAGCCAGTGTCCTGCAGCGTAGCTCCCATCTAAGTCCTCATAGGGCCTGAAAGTCAGGTTCTGCTTGGGGTGTGGCGGTCTCCTACCTGATGACTCTATACGAGCTTTGGAAAAACCCGAGCTGGTGGCTTACCCAGGTCCAGGAGGACAGATATAGAGATGTACATAATGTTTGCAACTTTAAACAGTAATAAAACCAGTAGCCATGTATCCACCACATAGCTTAAAACACAGAGCATTCCTGTCCCTCTGAGCCTCTGGTGCCCTCCCCCATTCACATGCCCTCCCCCTACCCCACGGTGGCGGGGGCGGCCAGTGCTCTCGGCCCTGAGGGCCTCCCGCTGCTTTGCGTTCCTGTGGAGTTTGGCCACTTTTATGTGTATCTGCAGACTTTCTATCATCCGTCCCTGCCTTTATACAAATAGAATTTTAGGCAGGCTTCTGTGACTTTTTGCATTTTGTAAAGTTCTGTGCAGTGTTTCATTGAATGACTGTGCCACTATAGGTTTCTCTCCTCTGCCACCCAGTGTCACTGGGGTGGTTTTCTCACACATGGTGCTGCTTGGCACCTTATAAGTTTAACTTACACGAGCAGCAGGGTTCGGTCACCCTTGACACAGTTTCCAGTACTGTACTCCACCCCAGTGGCTCCAGCTGGTGGCCAGAGATAAAGATTTGGAGGCATCTCTCCCACCCAGCAGGCTGGGCTCCCGCTTTCCCTGCTGTTTCCCTTAAATGGACCATTCAGACATTGTTCCTTGAACTTGAAGTGACCACCTCTCAGTCGCAGTGTGACCACCTGGAACTTGTGCCTGCTTGCTTTAAATCTACCAGTTAAAAATCCACCAGTTTCCCATGGGAAACCTGTTTGGCTAATGCCCTGGACCCAGAGAGGGCGTTGGCCCACACGTCCCCTGTCTCCCTGCCTATACTCCCTGACCTCCATGGGTGCGGCCTCCCCAAGCTTGCTGTGTATCCCCCAGGGTCTGAAAGTACTAAGAACTCTTAAACTTTCACACTGTGACTATGTCATTGAGGCCGTGACCACAGTCTGACACCCGAAGGATGGGAAACCCCGAAGGGACCTATGCAGGTAGGTCCCCTGCTGGTGCTCTTTGTCTAGGCCTCTCAGCTGCTGGAGATAGTAGTTACCAGCTGAGACAACAGAGTTTCATTCAAAGCTCAGGGCCCTTGTTTGTCCCCAGCAACAGCTCCCTGAAGTCAGGGCAGGACATTTGCCGCCCGGGCAGGTGCAGAAAGTGTCTCCGAGCACTGCGATCTTTAAGGCTGAGCTGCTTTCAGAAGCGTACCGGCCACTCGTGGCACCTCGGCTGTGGAAAGGCCTTCTGCTCTTTCGGCCTCTTTTTCTATTGGGTTGTTTTTCTTTTTCTTACTCATTGGGAAAGTGCTTCGCATTCCGTACATTGGTCCTTTACCAGCTGTTCGTATTGAGAGTGTTGCTCCGTTTCTGGTGTCTTACGTTGATGAACAGAAGGCCTGTGTTTTGATGTATTTGAGTTGTTTGTGTTTATGAACCTTGAAAAGAATCCTCCTATCCCAGGGCCAGAAAGACACTCTCCTTTATTTTTTCCTGAAAGTTTTATAGTTTCTCCTTTCTTATTTAAGTCTGTAATCTACCTGGAAACGGGGGTGGGGGATGTGTAAGGTAGGGAATTTTCCTCTTTGTACCTAAACTCTAAAACTTGAGGGATTTTTTCCTGAAAGTTTTATAGTTTCTCCTTTCTTATTTAAGTCTGTAATCTACCTGGAAATGGGGGTGGGGGATGTGTAAGGTAGGGAATTTTCCTCTTTGTACCTAAACTCTAAAACTTGAGGGTATATCTTTTGTGAGTTTATTTTCATTCTCAGCAGTCTCCTTCACAACTGAAAGCACGTTCCTTCCATTTCTCCTGCTGTTTGTAGACCTTAGGAGACTAATATGTGCTGCCTTGGGGTCTGCCAAAAAACCTTTTCTAAAAGGTTTTCTTGTAATATTTTACCATCGAGATTGCTATTTGTAGTTTTTATTAAAAGATGTGTTTGATCAGATTAAGGGAGTTCTTTTCCTTCAGTTTAGTGGCGAAGAGTTTTATCCCCTGCTATCGAGATTGTCACGTGGTTCGCTACTGTTGAGTCTAACAAACAGCACAGAGGACCTCCTGGCTGGCACTTGGCAGCTGTAAGTCTGTGCACCTGCAGCCCCAAAGCACTTTCCTCTGGTACAACAGGACTGGGTAGCAGTGGCCTCGGGCCTGAGGCTCCCCCTGCCCTGGAGCTCTGCCTGCAGAACCATGATCATGCCCTGATCATGCTCATGCCCTGATCAGACCCTGTGCCCCAGGCCTCCCTGCCGTCACCAGGCTGACGCGCCTGCGCTGGGCGTCTGCAGTTACACATTTCCCTCAAGCTTGTATTTAATTATATCTAAAAAGTCCTTCCTCGGATAAATACCCATCTGTGAAATTTTTAATATTTAACTCCTTTTTTCATCTTTTTCTTCAACTCTTTCATCCTTCTGGAATTTATCTGGATGTTCACCAGGAGGAAATGGGAATTGGGTCCCGCCCTGTTTGTGAAATAGCTCTTTCTCACCTCTCTCTGTGCTGCTGCCCTTACGGTGTAGGTTGTTCTCGTAGTTACCAAGCTGTCTTTCTGGAGTCTCTTTCTGAGATTTTAAACTGGTTTTCAGAGGGTTTTAATCAGGAGAACACCAGATGATTGTTTTAGGACCTGGGGATTGTCATGTTATGGACAGAACTAAGTCAGATCCACCCTGAGCCTTTATGCTCAGCCAGGGTCCTGTTCACAAATGCGTGTAGTTAACTGCCGTGCCTGGAGCTGTGAACCTGGGGCCACCATTGCTGAAGTGGTGTCATTGTGTGCTGAGATGGCCAGGCCTGGTGTGAACCAGACCAGACAGAGAAGGGCCTGGCACCCTGCAGGGGTACTCCTGCACGATGGCCTGGATTTGAGTGCCTTTTGCTAAAAGACACCTCTGGGTTTGGGGGACACAATTTTGTAAAACTGTTTAAACAACCACAATTTTCATTTGGAAGGTCTTCCCATTATTATTACTGTTATTTTTTGGCAGCTGGTCAGTATGGGGATCCAAACCCTTGACCTTGGTGTTATAACACCACGTTGTAACCAACTGAGCTAACCACCCAGCCCCCATTACATTTTTAATGTGCTAGTTTTTTTAAAAAAATTATTTTCCTAAGATTGAATTTTGAGATTTTTCAATTTGATGATATTAAATTTGCAACGATAGCTTTGTACATGAGCGTTCTCTGCACCTGGTTATTTTCTCAGGGTGGGATTGGAAGTGGGACTATGCTGAGACATTTTTAAGCTGGCCGGTAGCTGCTGCCAGATGGCTTTCCAGGACCGGTGTGCCCATGAGTGCACACACGGGCTTGCCACCCACCCTGCCAGAACCGAATTCTCGATTTTCTGTTTTCAGATGTACTGATTTCAGATCTGCAGATCAGGCGTTGCTGGGTGGATTTTCAGGCTGAGAGTTAGCATGTGGCCATGAGTTCTGTGTGGCCCCTGGCTCTTTAGGGCCTGCCCTTTTCATGAAGAAGCTGTGGAAGGGAGAGTGAGCCTACGTGCTTGTTGGCGTTAGTGGGGTGCTGACACTCAGTGCTGCTCTGTTTTCTCCACAGCATTTGAAGACATGCTGGAGAACCCATTGAACAGCACCCAATGGATGAACGATCCAGAAACGGGGCCGGTCATGCTGCAGATCTCTAGAATCTTCCAGACGCTGAACCGCACGTAGGTGGCGCCGTCCCACTTGGCGGCCTGGCTGCAGCAGCCTCCCCAGGAACGGGCCAGAGGGGACCCACCTGGAAACCCACCTTCAGCGCCTCAAACCTGGATTGTCAGAGGCGCCGCGGCTGTCCTCATCCTGACCTTGTTGCTTATGAACTTCTGTGACGGTAGTTTGTAAAGCCGTGATTTTAGCAAATGACAGGTGTTTACAAAAATGTGGTTGTTGCACTGGGAAGTGATGGTCGCCTCCTCCCCAGGGTGCTCCTTTGGGCTCTTGAAGTGCTGCTTGGGGTGACGCTTTGGTGTTTGCTTGTAGAGTCCACTTGTTATTTGAAAGAAGGCATGTTTCAATCCAGAGTGTTAATGGCAAACATACTAATTTAACTAGAGTAATGCACAGATGACTTTTCTTTAATAAATAAAACCCCTTTTCCTAGCTCCTGTCTCGGTGCTCTTTCAGGGTGGAAAAGGTGTGCACATCCTTCTGCATGTTTGCATCCTGGAGCCGCCTACGTGCTCACAGCTTGTACCTGCGGCTGGCGCTGTGGCCACGTCAGTGCCTTGGTGATCTTGTAGACACGTTTCGTTGGCAAAATCTCACTCGGTTGTAATTGGATTTGAGGGACAGTAAATTCGCTGGAACCAACCCTGTGTTCCCAGGTCACAGGTGGCTGAACTGAGCACGGCTGCCCACCGGCCGGCCTCTGGCCTCCTCTCCTTCTTTCTTTTTTAACATTATCTGTGTTTTAACATGAGAAAATGAGTTTCCTTTTTTGTGACCTCTGCTCATTATTATTGCTTAAGACAGTTAATTCTCAGCTGTCTCTTTAAACGTCTCTTCTGAGGCTGCCCCACCTGCATTCGCTCCCTGTGGCTTGCTCGGCTGCTGGCCCCAGGTAAGTGGGCACTGAGCGGGAGCCACCCCCTGCAGGTGGCCATCCGCGTGGGAACCTTAGCTGAGCTCTGATCCCTTTGCTGCTGATGGAGAATGCTTTAAGAAAATGTTCCTTCTCACAGCTGTAGGCTTTTCTGTTGTTCTTGAGATTTAGATTTAAAATGTCAAGGCAGAAATATGTAAAATACTTTTTTTTTTAAACTGATAAACATAATGTATTTATTACTTTAATACATTTCTTTCAGGTTGTAAATTTTTAGAGCATTACGCATGAATTAATTGCCATCAGGCTTTCCATATTACTGACATTCATAGGATTTCACCGCAGTGTGAGTTTTCACATGACTTTTAAAGTATTTGTTAAAATTTTAAACTTTCCTATATTTTGAAAACCAAGAAGGTTTCAATCCAGTGTGCATTTTGCGCACGTTTTTGTCAGTCGATGGGTCAGCTGAAGGCTTTTCCACACCCCACATTTAGCATCTTTGTCGGCTGCGAGTGTCTGTGCTTTCAGAAGGAACCGGAGCACGTGGGCTTCACCGTTGCTCACATGCCTCGGCTCCCTCCAGCGTGAGTCCTCCCATGCCTTTGAAATGCACTGGGACAGCCAAAGGCTTTCCCACACACCTGACACTTACAGGGCCCATATCCAGGGTGTGTCTCCTGTGTCTTTGGAAACCGGCAAGAGAAGCGGAGGCTCCACCACGTTGTCACTGCCTGGGCCCCTCGCCAGCGCGAGTCCTCCGTGCATCGAGAGGAGGGGGAGGCTGAGCTTCCCTCGCTGCCTTTGCTCATGCGGCTCCCTCCACAGTCCCGATTCTCACGTGGTCGGGTCCCTTGTGTGACGGGAGTGCCTCGTAGGGGATGGTGACCCATGGAGACTGTTCCACGTGAGCTGCGCTCACACAGCTTACTCCAGGAGGACTCTCTCGTTCACGCTGAGATTTGGAATCTGGCTGAGGGTCTCCACTGTGAAGACTCTACTTTAACTGACGTTCTCTTAGACTTCTGCTGCGGTTTTTGTGCTGAGGCTCGGTGCTCTGGTCTTCCATTTTTTTCCTGTAGAAGACAAGTTTGTACAGATTTCCCCCATGACGTCTCTGGAGTTTTTTTTCTGGGAATGGTCCAGCATAGCCCACTCCTCCAGGGTGAAGTTGATAGCCACATCCTCAAAGGCCACTGAGCCCATTTCCTGGCTTCTGGGTGTCCCAGCATCCTCCCTGGGGCTTGCATGTTCCCTGCAAGTCAGAGAGCGACAGAGGCTGAACTACTTGAAGTCGTCACAGGCCTGTGACACGTGCTGACCCATAAAAAAGTACTTTTTAAAGGTACTAATCCCACTTCTAATCCTCACACGGAGGTGGTTGTAAATGTTCCCAAAGCTGTACAGCGTCGAGAGTCCACATCTCCCCTGCGCTCTCCCACTGTGATATCGTCTGTGTTTTGTTTAACTAAAGTCCGGTATTCTGTTAATTCAAAGTGCATGGTTCTTATGCCTCATGTCTTTATTCTGTTTTTCTCCTTTCTTGCGCTGCTGAGTGTCCCTACTTCCAAACTGTGTAATTGCTCCTTCCAGAAGCTGGGTGGGGCCCAGAGGCTGCAGCCTTCCCATGCACCCCAAACTTAAAGTACAGCCCAGACCAGGCGCCAAGGGCTCTGTGCTTTCACGTTCTTTATGGAGAAGCAAAGTCCCAGTGGTGACATCCCAGGGGCTGGCCTGGGGCGGTCCCTGCCTGGGCAGGTGCAGGTGCGGGCGGGTGAGTTGGCCTGTCAGCAAGCGTCACACTGACCGGATGCGTCTTGTCTGTCAGGATGTTTGAGGAGCTCCCTCAATAAGCAAAGTGCATGGCCAACAAAGCCACCCAAGCTCTCGGTTGTGACTGGAGCAGTCCGGTGCCTGCCACACACCTGGGGACAGTGCAGGGCATCTGGCCCTCAGGGCAGCCCACCTCCCTCAGCCTCTGACAGGATTCATGAGTTGCCTGTTAGATTTGAAGGAGAGGACAGAGTGGCCACTGAGTGTCTGGTGCTCTTGCTCCTGAGAGGTTTCCTTTCCTATATGGGGCCGCAGCGGTGGCCGCCCCTGGCAGGTGCTGCCTCCAAAATATGGTATCAACAGCTGCAGTCCTTGTGATTAGGACCAAGGGTAAAGTCAGCCTCATGGTCCCCTCCTTATTGGTCTGCAGCCGTAGTTTGTGCCTGCTGTTTACAGTGTCCAGCACTGTCCCATGCCTGGCCCGGTGGAGTGACAGCCAGCCCTGCGGTCTGAGGCCCTTTTCTGCTGTGGTTCCTACCGTAGGACCCTGTCTTTGATGTAGCCTCACTGGTTTCAGGTGAGCTGGCGGTATTGGGAAAGACGGCCCTGTGTAGTCTTTGGGGCCAGGCCGGCAGTTCAGGGCACGTCCGCTACAGGTGGTTTCTGTCCTGAGTGAGGGGTTGTTTTGAGGTTTACATCCCCAGGTGCCGTGTGTGGCCGTTGCTGGTGCTGCCGTGGCCTGGGCTTCTCCGCCCCCTCTCCCCCGCCTTTATAGAAAATATTCTGTAATGCTTCCTTTATTATCTTGCTGTGAACTTTAGAGAAAATCTGATCTTGTTACGTGTCCAACTTAAAAAATCAATTTAAATCATGACAGGAAGGGGCCGGCCCGTGGCTCACTCGAGAGAGTGCGGTGGTGATAACACCAAGGCCACAGGTTCGGATCCCATACAGGGATGGCCGGTTCACTCACTGGGTGAGCGTGGTGCTGACACCACCAAGTCAAGGGTTAAGATCCCCTTACCAGTCATCTTTAAAAAAAAAAAAAAAAAAATCATGACACGAATATAAAAGTAAGAAAGCAATGTTAATAAAATGTACGTTTGGGGGCCGGCCCGGTGGCGCACTGCTACAGTGTGCCACTTGGGAAGCGTGGCGGCGCTCCTGCCGAGGGTTCGGATCCCACATACAGACCGGTTNCGGGCGTACCTGGCAGGCTGCGGCCCTCCGCGCTGCGGGCCGCTCCGCGCTGCTTGCTCTTGTGTCACACCGGATGGCTCTCTCTTGTCCCTGCGACTCTGAAAACAAGAGGTGTTAATGGGTGCCAGGGAGTTTATCCTCTAGATATGCTGCAAATTATTTAACAGGTGCCGTCCCCTATTTCTGTCGTTCAAACTGTTTTCCTCTCGTTGCTTTTGGGCTTACTGCTGCGATAGACCTAATTTGTACCTAATTCTCTGGGTGCAGCTCATGCTTCCTGGAAGTCAGTTGACAAGGCAGAGGACATGGAACATTTTAAACTCTTGCTAATATCTTGTCAGCTTGCTCTCCCATGTCACCGGCTGATGGTGCCACCATCTGAGTGACATCTGTACCCCACCCCACCCCACCCCACTCACCCCTCCTTTCATAGACAAACACCTGATTGTTCTGATTTGTGTTCCTTCTGGTTGTTAGTTGAATACTTCTCTGTTGGCCACTGGCCTCTCCTCTTTTACATATTCCCTATGCATGTCTGGTGTCTGTTTTTCAAATATGATTTTTTTTGGTGGCTGGCCCGTATTGGGATCTGAACCCGTGACCTTGTTGTTAGCAGGCTGCACTCTAACCAGCTGAGCCAACCAGCTGGCGAGCTACAACATTGATCTCAGAGCTTTGTTAATAGCTTGTTATGTGTTAAGAACATCACGTTGCAAACTTTTTTTTTTTTTTTTTTTAAGATGACCAGTAAGGGGATCTTAACCCTTGACTTGGTGTTGTCAGCACCA